ACAATTTTGGAAGACCATACAAGAACAAAATGACAAAATAAATGAAAAATTAGAAATGATACAAAATGTTAGAAATCCAAAAGATTAATACTAAATTTTCAGAAACAGATAACACATTTAATGGGTAAAGGAGTGGAAATGAATCAATGGAAGACAGAATCAATGAGATTGAAGACAAATACTTTAATACTTCTTTGGAAAGGGATCAATCAGAAAAATGATCAAAACAAAATAAAGAAAACCTAAGATTCATATGGGATACCATCAAGAGGAATAATATATGTGCAATTAGAACTCCAGAACAGGAAGAGAAAAATGAAACCATAAAGAAAATTGCCAAAGATTTGTTGGAAGAGAATTTCCCTGATATGATGAAAGATGAGAATATATCCATTCAAGAAGTCCAACGAACCCCAAAATGGATAGAACCCAAAAGAAAATCACCAAGGCATATTATCATGAAACTTGTCAAGACCAAAGACAAAGAAAGAATCTTGAAAGCAGCATGGGGAAAAATGAAAAGTTACCTACAATGAGGAACCAATATGTCTAAGCAGAGACTGTGCAGGTGAGAAATAATAGGATGATATATATAAAATCCTGAAAGGAAAAAAAAAAATTCCAACCAAGAATTATATACCCAGCAAAATTGTCCCTCAAATATGATGGTGAAATTAGGACATTTCCAGATAAGCTGAAATTAAGGGAATCTGTTAAAACCAGACCAAACTTACAAAAGTTACTAAAGAGAGTCCTTTGGACGTAGAACCACCAATAGCAAACAGAGTTGCAGACTGGATAAGAAAATATAACCCATCAGTATGCTGTCTACAAGAGACTCACCTTAAAGACAAAGACAAAAATAGACTAAAAATCAAAGGTTGGAAAAAGATATATCAATCAAATGGCAACCAAAAAGAGTAAGAGTGGCAATATTGATTTCTGATGAAACTGACTTTAAGACCAAAAATAGTATAAGAGACAAGGAAGGGTATTATAAAAAGATTAAAGAATTGATTGAACAAGAAAATATAACCATATAAGTATCTATGCACCCAATGAAAGAACTCCAAAACATATAAATGAGGCATTAACAGAACTGAAAAGACAAATAGATGACTTCACAGTTATAGTAGGAGACTTTAATTCACCACTTTCAATGAAAGATAGAACAACTGGAAAGAAACTCAACAAAGATGTAGAAGAAGTAAACAACACAATTCACCAACCTGACCTTATAAATATCTACAGAGCACTTCTTCCAACAACAGTACAATATATATTCTTTTCCAGTGCACATGGGACATTCTCCAGGATAGACCATATGTTAGGCCACAAAGGAAACCTCAATAAATTTAAAAATATTGAAATACTGCAAAGCATCTTCTCAGATCACAATGCTTTAAAATTAGAAATCAACAATAGGAAGATCAACGGAAAAAGAGCAAACACATGGAAATTGAATAACACCTTCCTTAATAATGACTGGATAATAGAAATGAAAAATGAAACTTAAGAAGTCATTTTTAATGTAACATTTAGTGTGGAACTTCTAATTCTATAAGGCAGCTATTAAACTGACAATAGCATAGGACTCAAAGTAGAGAAGAAGACTAGCTTTCTTGAACATTTACTATGTGCCAGATTTAAAAACATTCCATATTATTTCATTTATTTCTCAAAACCAACTATCAAGGCAAGATTGTTGAGGTGTTACATTTTTTCAGGTGAAGAAGCCAATGCTCATGGAGATTCAGAAATTTGCTCCCACGGCGGGAATATTCCAGCTGGGGTTCAAACCTAACTAGTGTGGCAATGCCCATGTTCTCTCCACTGACCTCCATATCAGTAAGGTCTGAATTTTTTAACATGATTGTGAATTTATTAGCCAAGTTGACTTTGAGCTCTTTGATTCTATATTGCTAAGATGGGGGAACTGCTATCTAACACCCAGGGAGTAAACAGACTACATATATCAAAAACACCATACCTGTACCTGGTGCATAATGAGATTTGATAAATGATTGTTTTATTTTAAGTAAATTATCTGGGGTAGAAACAAAGGAAGCAACTTCCTATAATCTGGCTCAATGAGCCTCATGATTCTTCCATTTCATTATGATCAATAGCACAAAAATTCCACTAATAAAATCTGAAGAAGCAGTGTTAAATACATTTGGTTTTCATTCTAAGTCCTTGAAAACTGGGAACTGATATGGGGTTGACCCATGTTTCCAGACTTATGATGAAAAACATAGGGTATTGTAAGAGATTATCCAATGAGAAAAGTAAGTATGTGCTTAGGGAATCAGCAAATCAAGGGCATCTGAGTTATGAGAAAAGTTCCAGTTACAATGAGCTTATGAAACATTTTAGAATAATAATAATAATAATAAAACCAAGAAAGAATCTGTGAACATTTAAGCTCTCATTTAAGTTTTATTTTTGTATTTAGTGTTTTTTATTTTGATTTCAGTAAATCAGGGAAGCCTGGAAGGCAGGCATCTAAAGCTTTCCAGTGTTTAAGGGGCAATATGAACATGATTCTGGTATGCTCTTAGTGTTTGTTGACTTACAACAAATATTTTGAAGGTATCAAACATTTTTTAAAGTGTAGTCTCCAATAATCTTTTACCAATAAAATGTTTATGCCATCTTACCTTTTCAGAAATGTGTGTTCCCTCCTGGACTCTCTATCATAGCAATCGAGACCAGAATGCCTCAGATGACAGACAATAATTGCTTTATCCCATAAATATATCACTTTTGATAAGTTAATATAAGTAACTAGCAACTGGTTAGAATATTTTATATCACATAAAAGTGGTCTTAGCTTACCTGTTTTGTTTTTTTTTTTAATAAGCTATGGCATATCTAGCCTCAATGAAATATTTTTCCTCAAAATGTTTAGAAAATAAAAGTGCATCAACATACAAGGTTTTGGGAAGAACATTTTATTGCTAAGCATATCCTTGAACGAAAATGCAAATATGAAATAAAAGAGAAAAGGAAAAAGAAAAAGCAGTAACATCACAACATCATAAAATAAATTCCTTAAGGGTCTGCTCATAAAACAACAGGAATATGATAGAAGCTCACATACAGAATGCACATGTCCCCATAAAATTGTCCAAATAGAAACTTACACTAAAAGGAATATAACAAATGTATTTTTACTGAAATTAAAAAAAAAAAAATTGTAAAGAAAGAAAGCAGGAAATCAGTTCACAAGACCTCAAAACAGCAATCTTTTACAAACATCGAGATATAATCAACTTCATATAGGTTGGGCCATTTAGATGATCTAAAATCGTGCTTTGATATCTCTTTATAATCTTGTCTTTTTTTCATAACAACAGAAAATAAATTTTAGAAGGAAAAAAGAAACTCTTAACACATTGAAATATCAGATAATGAGGATCACCTCTTTCCATACACGTTAGAAAATGCTATCGTTGTTTAGATTGCGCTTTTTGCCCCATGTCTTTAAGATAGTTTTTCAAAGTCAAATATTCATGCAACTTACAAAGACCAGCAAGAGTAGATTTCTAAATCTAAACCGCTGATTGATTTTCATCTGTACAAAAGAAATAGTATATATCTGACCCTCCAGAGGACACACTCCGTTTTTGTGTGACTATTGGTCTGGCTTTTCCTCTTGCTTTTTTGGATAGCTATGGCCACATAACCAGTTTATTGTTTTTTCTGTACATTGTTCCTTCTTTTCAAAAAGGAAAGAAAGACAATTGAAATATTAAACCCAACAAACCAAAATAAACAAAGAGAAAGAACAATTCTCAACGTAGTATGTACATAGGTGGCTAAGGAATTATACCAGCAAAAATGTAGTAAAATATGTAAACAAAATCTGAGAATTTTTTTTTTTTCTCTTTGACACAGTTAACTGTGACAAAACTAAAACTCACACTTTCTTCACATTTTAAGGTTTGCTTTTTTGTTGTTTTGTTATTTTCATTTAAAACAACAGTCTCATTCCACTTCAAGACTTTAACAGATTTCCTGTTTCAGTCGTCCCATCAAACATACTGTGATAAATATATCTGTATATATATTTATTTATATATATATATTATACTATTAAATTCCTTTTTTGTGTGTGTCACAGCAGCTTTATTCATTTATTTAATTATTTAAGTTTTAAAAAAGATGGGTGAAGGGAGACATGAGCCAATGGAAGGATAGAATTATCCATTAGTGTCAGGCTACAAAATTAAAACACTATGAAAAACATTAATATGTTGGGGCGGGGGAAGAACTATGTATTTTGCACTCCATCATGATGTGTTTGGCTTGTGTGACCCTTTGTGGTTCCATCACAAGTTGAACTCCTGCATTGTCTGATTTGATTATTTGACAGATTTTATTGTTGTCTTTTCTTTTACATTTGCATGCACTTCAGTCAGTCACAGATTCAGCCTACCCCCCCATTTTGCTAGGAAAGACTCTGTTTTAGTTTATGGGGTTTTCCCCTTTACCACAATTTGGCTGGACTAATGAATAGGAACAACATTGTTAAATAAAGCCAATAGCTTTGCTAAAACCAACCCTGAACCTGTTCGTTCAAGGTTTGGGTGGCAAATTCTGGAATTAGACCCTGGGGGACCAGCTTTTGAAATCAACATCATCATCCATCACATGGTTTTTGCTATGTATTCAGCAAAGCATCTTACAGGAAACAAACAACAGATTCTAGAGACACCACAACCTGATATGTAGAGTGGACACCATGGTAGCTTTTGAGTTCATATATGGCAATAGTCTCTCTCATTTTAATTTTCTGAGTTTTTTTTGTTTTTTTCCTCTTCTTATGTTCAGTCATTCTCAAAAATAAACAAAAACCCAAAAGCCATTTTCCCCTTAGATCTTGAAAAGTTACACACACACTGGCCAAAACCAGATAAGGGGATTTTTTTTGTTTTTAACTTTTTTTCTTTTTACATAATTAAACTGGAAAGAAAGAAAAAAAAAAAAAGAACATTGTTACAGTCAAGCTTCACAACATCATAACAGACTCACTTGGAGTTAGGGACAAGTAAGCCATGAAGTCTTCTACCTTTTGTCATAAAGGTCCTGGAGAGAAGGAGGCTTCCAAGTTCGGTAATGGGTGGAGCCGTGTGCTCGCTCCATAGTGCTAAGTTATGTGCTTTATGGTACAGCAGGGCAGAAAGAACTTTCTGTCTCCGAACGATGACTGAAACACAGCAGCCGTGGCTGAATTTGAGAGATAGACACATCTTTGTGTGTGTCCTTTTAAAAATGTTTTTTCTTTTCTTTTTTTTTTTTTTTCCCCACCACAGGTATGGTATACCCCATCTCATAGTTACAACAGTTTGGACATCTGTCAAATCTCCTTTGCAAAGTATTTATATATTTATATATAAATAATTCTGTTTTTAAATTCACTTACTAGTAGTGTTATCATCTTTACACATAATACTCTTTGTCCTTGTTTTTCTGTTTCTTGTGGCCGCTCTTTGAGCTCTGTTGCTTCTCCTTCAGGAGCGTGCCGTTGCTCTGGGCCGAGTTGCTGATGTAGTTCCGCGTCTCGTCCACTTGATAGGACCCCTCGTCCCTGTTCCTGTACTTGTACATGGCATACAGGAGGATCAAGATGCAGAGGGCGGCAGCAGCCACAATGCCGACGACCATCCCTGTTGTACTGCTCGACTCCCGGATCACCTCTGAGGCCCCCGGAACCCGTCTGATTCCCGGCTCCGTGGGGTTTGCTGTGGGCACATTACGGAACATGGGGGAAGTAATTAGTGGGCTCTTCAGTTTGGTGCTGTCTAGCTCATAGGCAGTGGGCAACGGAAGCAAGACTATATCAGGCTGGGGTTTGAGATCACGGTTATTCATTTTGCCAGCTGGCAATTTGGGCACCATCCCAGACGAGGAGGAAGCTGTGGAGCGGATCAGCTCAGGGGACAAAGATGTGGTAGTAGTCCTACTAGTTTCGGAGACTTTGTTAGGTCTAAAGTCCTTGGATTCCCACTTGGGCGCATGTGCTTTGTAGCCACCTTCGAAGACTGAAGTGGAAAGACTCTTATCTGTTACCAAGGAGAAGGTGGTGTAAAAATCTTCATCATCAGTAGGGGGCAGGTTAGAGTCAATTTCCCCTGAGCCATACCCAGATATCACCAAGCCATCATCATCACAACCATCGCTGCCTTGGTCCGACAAGCAAGGTAACCCCGCCTCAGAGGCCATGGACAGGGAATCTTTGGTGGTCTCAATAATGGTGAGGAGGGGGCGAAAGGTAGGGGGGAGTGTAATGGAAGGTGCACGAGTAGCAATAGGAGGGGTAGCTAAAGGGTCTTCTACAAGAAGAGGGATAACTAATTCACCTCCTGGGATTGAAAAGAAAAAGAAAAACAGAATTAGTAGATTTGCAAACACAACTCACAGTCACTCTCTGTGAACAGTTCATAGATTATGTCTCAAAATTTTATCATTAAATGACTTGGATCAGCATATGGATCCTTCTGGTTGTAGCACCATTGTAGACTGGTTCAAGCCCATAACATGCCTCTTGCCACCAAAATCTGAAATCCTTACATCAGGGACTTAGATACTCTCAAGTAATTATTTAAATAGAATTCAAATCTGCCATTTCCAGGATCTGCTTATGAGGTGATAGCATTTATTTATTCATACTGTTGCAAATACTGACTGGCTATCAAAACTGTGTGTGGGTGTACAAGTGCATGTGTGTGCTTAATTTAGAAGCTAGAACATATATAATATAACATATAATTTAAAAGCTTTATTGTCTTCCTTTCTGTTTATTTGTTCTCATGAAAATGAGAATAACATATTCTTCATGTCAATGAGACCAAAATCAAAGAGCATAAAATATCCCATCTGTAGTACGTTCTTATGTTACTACCTTTTATTTTACATTTATTGTCTTTTTTTTTCCTATGAACCAAATGAAGGGAACTGAAACCCACTGCCATCAAGTCCATTCTGACTCAGAGTAGAACTGCCCTATAGGGTTTCCATGGCTATAAATCTTTACAAAAGCAAACTGACAAATCTTTCTCCCACTTACCAGCTGGTAGGTTCAAACCACCAACCTTTTGGTTAGCAGCCCAATGCCTTAAGTGCTGTGCCACGAGAGCTCTTTTCCGATGGGAATTTACAAGAGGCTAAATGTGTTCATTTTAACTTCACTTTTCCAGAAAGTCCCTTGACTATCAAATGACCATTCTGTTTGCATTGGTCTCATAGTTGCTTTTGCATTGTTTTAATGCTGCATATAGTATATGCTTAGCTGGAAGCTAGATTTTAAAAATACCCAGCCTAGATATCCATGACTTACTGGAAATTTACTTTTAGATCCAGAAATGTAGAGTTAGCAAAGTGAGTTCTTGAAATCAGTTATTCTCAGATAGAGTGGCAACAATGCATTGATTTACTCTTAGTACATAGGTATTGCACTTAATATACATGTGGACTAAGTTGGGAAAACAGAAGTTCAGAATAGTTTACTAAATCAAAATGCTTGCAAATTATGAATATCAAACTATTCTATGGTGGATGTTGCTCTCGAAACAATAGAGTCAAGCTTACTACCCACCCATGTAAGCAAGATAATCAGAGTCTCTTCTGTGTCTCTTACCAATGTTATTTTTCAAACAAAGAATCTCAAGAAGTCAGAGCCCATGTCTCTTTACTGAATTTATTCCAGAATAAAATTTATTTCAACTATTATTTTTCCAAATCCTCTAGCAAAGCTGTCACGATGTTTACCTATCCCATTAAATCAGCACGTTAAGTTGATGACATGCTATTATTGGTGAAGGCCTCATTCTGAGCTGGGTCACTAAACATTGAACCAACTGCAGTGTCCTTCAGTGATCTGCCCTTGGTAATAAGTCAGTCATAATGGAACAGCAAGTGTCAGAGCATCTGTTAACAGATATGGCTTGCCCTTCAGTGTCCCCTCTTCTTTGACTGTGGCAAAGCCAGTTTGGTGCTGTGAAGCTATGGGGGCCATTGCAAGTGAACAAGTCTTTGGGCTTACACAGTCTTCAGGGTTCTACCTACAAAGGCTGACTCAATTCTAATGTGGAACTGGCACACATCCCACTCAGCTCTCCACACCTAGTATTTTTAAAGTCTTCCCATGACTCATTTAGAACTCTGCGATCTAAATTGTCCAGGTTTCAGGTGTGCTCGGAGAAGGGCCACTTGAGAAGAAAGCTATCACATGGTTTCAAAACATCTGAGTAGGTTTGCTTGCATCCACATCAGAAGTGTTTACACCCCACCAATTTAGCCAATAATCCTGTACTGTATAATGAGAAATTGACTTGAGAGGGAGGCTAACATGTATATAATGCGTACCTTTGGAAAGAGAAGGGACAACAAAATGTTGTACTACCATCTCTAATGCACCTGGTAATTCTGTCATATGTGAGGAAATAAAACAAGAATCTTTCTGAAAATTTCAAGATGATATTTTTGCCTGTGTTCTAAACCCCAGCTTCTATTCTAGTGCTGAGAATTTGAAACTAGTGAGCAAAATGATCTTTGCAGATTTGCCAAGTCTTCAGACTTGCTTTACTTGGCCAGTTTGCTTATTTTTTTACATTGTGAACATATATAATTCATATACCTTGCAACTTACTTAATGCATAATTTACACACTTTCACTAGTTTTATAAATGGGATTTGGAACATGGTTCCCTAATGTTAAGTTCGTCATAAAACTCACCCTGCACTAACTTTTCTTCTTATTCTTCTAGTAAGGGGGCCCCAAGTGGTTTATGTAAGATGATAACATGGGAGAGGGCAGTGTTTGAGTAAGAGAATAGTGGTGAGAGGGAAGAAGGGGAGCCATGCAATCTGTCTAAAGATTCTCTAGGGATTTCTCAGGAATTATTTTACTTTCCTTCAAGGAACAAAACGGGAGTTTTACCCAGCTTAATTAGAACAAAGGTTTAACATGTGTATTCTTTTCCAGCACAAATACCCAGAGTCATTTGTTTCTTATGGCAGTGACAAAAATCTACCACACATAGAGTAAACAGAGTGGAACATGGGTTGAAGGACAAGGGATAATTGATTTGTCAGAAGACCAAGGCCCATACCAATAATTTAAATATAAAGGCAAATTGTTGGGTAGAAAGCTAGAGTCCCTTTAAGTGAGATTAAGCACACTGCATTCATGATTACAGAGTGGTATTCATTTGCAATTTTAGCGAACCATCTGTGACACCCAACTGGAGTCTTAAATTTGCCTGTTCTTTTTTTCCCCTCTTCTTAGCTAAAGCTTCTGCAGTGTGTTTGTTATTAAAAATCTATGAGATCTACAAATTGCTCACTCTGCAGTTGAGTCATCCCCCATACACACACATACACACTTTACGTTGCTCTTTCCTTTCCATTCAGCACACTAATGCAAGCGTCTCTCTTGAATCTTTTTTTTTTTTTTTTTTTTTAATAAAACCCACCTTTATAGTGATGGGATAGAAGGAGGTTCCTGCAACTCACTAATTTATAAAGGGTTCTGAAAGCCTGGAGAGCCCCTAAATGTTAGGCTAAGAGCTTATTTCAAAACTACAGTGATGAGTATGCTATTGTAGAATTTAAATAACTGACTCTGTCAGAACTACTCATCTTCAGTTTTCTTTGCCGTTTTGTTATTAATCCTGGTAGCAGTAATAAAGATAAGTGGAAATTTGAGCCTAAATTCTGCTGATACTTAGTCAATGAAATGATAGAATCTTTCATAAACTTTTTTTTTTTTTTTTTCTCTTTCCCCTCTGGCATCTCCAGGAATTGGAAGAGTGCCTTTAGTTGAAAAGGAAGTCAACTGGGATGTAGGAGTCATTTATACAGATGGGAATTAGAGTGAGATGAGACTGAAAATTTTAGATAATCATGAAACCTTCCTGGGACAGGTATATGAATTGTAGTGTATAATCAATTTCAATAGCAAATTTCATCTTTAACATTTAAGATATAGTGTACTTGGGAATTCAAGATGACACATCATTTGAGATGAGGGAGAATTATTTCTCTCACCGTAAACCAAACCAAACCAAACACACTGCCGTCAAGTTGGATCTGACTCATACCAACCCCTCCTTGGGTTTCTGAGGTGGTATCACAATGGAAGTAGATGGCCCAACCTTCCTTCCGAGGAGTGGCTGGTGGGTTTGAACCACCAGCCTTCTGGTTAGCAGTCAAATGCATCAGGCACTACACTACCAGAGCTCCATAAGATCCTTAATATAAATGTCTTAATTTGTGCAAGGCTATGTAAGATTTTATTTGTTTTAATCCAGGTTGTCTGCCCTCAGAAATATTGCAGCAGCTGATACTATGTTTCTTTTCACTTCCTAAAGGCTCTGGAGTTAGGGATCAACAACATGTCTGTGCTTACAGAAGTATCCACCCAAGCACAACAAGCCTGAGGTCATAAAGAGTAACAGGCAAATGGTACAAAATCTAATATTCATCAAAACCCTAATTTCCAGAATTTTCCCCGAATTTTTCTTTGGTTTGGAATAAGAACTATCCATATCCCTTAAAGTTAGCATCTTAAATCGGGAAGATATACTCTTCTCTTTTGTGACAGCATTGTGCTTTTCTTTAAACTAGAGAGATCACTAGGGATATGAAAGGTCTATTTTAGCCCTGGAGGCTGCTCTGCTCTTTTGCTTTATGAGTATATTTATAGATATATAATTCATGCCTCTAGGGCTGATATCCAGCAAAAGGGGCTCTCTGCCATCGAAAAGACAGTGTGTTAAAAATTTAATGGAACTCTCCTGAACTGTGAGAATATTGTGGGTGATGGTGAATGCAGTGAGTCATCTAAAAACCAAGTTGAGCAGTAAGAAGTTTCAATGTGGCTCTGACCATTATGTCTCTGGAGATGTCTAAGTCTGAGAGGTCATGAAAATACCAAAACAGTGGTGAGAGAGAGCAGGACTTTGGGAGAAGACATCACATTCCAATTCCTTGAATTTCTTTCATATATATTTGGGATATTTACCTCCTCTCTTATTTGTATTTTTCTAATTCTCTCCTTGAAAATTCACCTATAATGGGGAGAAATAATCTTTTCCCTCACTACGTCAGTTTCAAATATATTATTTGGAGCCATGGAGTGTATACTTGCAACACATCCATATCCCAATGGTGTTAGAAGCTTATGACCATGAAATTGCTCTCTATCCACCATCAGGAAAAATTGTCTTGGACAAATAAAGCAAGTGTCCAGAGAAAAGACACTAGAAGTACAGAAATGTCTCAACATGGCTTAATGTACATTTTAATAGAATAACATTTGCTAGGTAGGGCATTCTTTTCCCCTTTTCCCTCCCTAAAGCAA